GTAGATGAAAAAAAGTTGCTCAAATAATAATGTTTAAGAAATTGTACACTTTTTTTCAGGATGCGAAGAAGTATATCCTTGCATTAAACCTGATACAATGGCTTGGGGGAGAGGGATTAAGCCATTAAAAAATCTCTTCATAAGATTTGGAATAAACTTGTCAATTAACAGTGACAAGGAAACATTTTGCAAGTCAGGTTGTGATGGAAGTCTATAACAGTTTCAGTTGCCATCAAGTCAATTCCGACTCATGGCAACTTCATGTATGTCAGAGTAGAACTGTGTTCCATAGGGTTTTCAGTGGCTGATTTTGCAGAAGTACATCACCAGGCCTTTCTTCTTAGGTGCCTCTGAGTGGCCTCAAACCTCTGACCTTTCTGTTAGTAGCCTAATGCTTTAAAGATTTGCAACCCCCAGGGACTGCAAAGAAAGTCTATTCAAAACAAACAACAACAAAAAACAAACCCATTGCTGTAGAGTAGATTCTGACTCATGGCAACCCTATGTGTTATGGAGTAGAACTGCTCCATAGAGTTTTCTTGACTGTACTCTTTACATAAACAGATTGCCAGGCCTTTCTTCTGTGGTGCTGCTGAGTAGGTTCCAACTGCCAACCTTTAAGTTAGTCCAACCAAACCAAACCCATTTCCATCAAGTTGTTTCTGACTCATAGCGACCTGCTAGGACAGAGTAGAACTGCCCCATACAGTTTCCTAGGCTGTAATCTTACAGAAGCAGACTGTCACATCTTTCTCCCACGGAGTGACTCATGGGTTCAGACCACTGACCTTTCGGATAGCAGTTCAGCGCTTAACCACCGTACCAACAGGGCACTAAAAGCTCTGAAAACCCAGCAGTTCAACCAAAAAAATATTGATGGATATGACGTAAGACCTTTGGCTAGAACTCCAGAAGCTCTCATTTACAAGACATTTATGTATTAGATAACTTTATGTTTTTAAAAAATGTATCTAAAAGTAGAAATTAGGATTTATGACAAAGGCAGCCATGCAGTGCAGTAGAGAAAGGATGAATTTTCCCAATAAATGGTGCTAGGTGAATAAAATATCCATATAAGCAAAAAATATATCTCAACTGCTACCTTGCAGCATATGTAAAAATAAATTCCAATGGACTACAAATCTAAATATAAAATGTGAAACAGTAAAGTTTTTAGAAGAAAACATAGAAAAATGCCTCTATTGCCTTAGAAAAGACAGAAAGTTCTTAAATGTGACACAAATAGCACTAACCATAAATTTTAAAATTGGGACAAATTGAACTATATTAAAATTCTTACCTGGTGTCAAAAATCACCACTAAGAATGAAAAGATCAGCTAATAGACTACAATAAGATATTCACTATACATATATCAATATGTCTGGCAAAGGACTCAAATCCATAATACATTTAAAAAATCTTATAATTAATGAAGTTATTGTGTTGACATTTTTAAACAACTAATTTTTGGCCTTATTAATTTTTTCTATTGTTTGTTCATTTTCTATTTCATTTATATGTGGTCTTTATTATTTCCTTCCTTTTACTTACTTTGGGTTTACTTTGGTCTTCTTTTTCAAGCTCTTTGAAGTGGAACCTTTCTTCAATTATTTTGGATCATTCTTATTTTACAATATATGTAAATAAAGCTACACACTTCTCTCCTAGCGCTGCATAAGCTACATCCCATAATTTTTATATATATTTTTATTGTAATTATCTTTCAATTAAAAATAATTTCTAATTTACTTTGTAATTTAGATTTGTGTTATTTAATATCCTTGACATAAATCTCTTCATATTTGTATTTTCTTCATATTCTTATCTCTTCCAATTAATTTTCTTCATATTTATCCTGTTTGGAATTTTTAGAGCTTCTTGAATCTGTAAATTTACCTCTCACCAAATTTAGAATTGAGAACTCCCACTCTTTCTGCAAGTCTTGACACCCCTCCAAAATCTGTCTGCTTTTGTTCACTCTCCAGAACTCTCAGATAGTTGTTTGCCGTATTTTGTCCAGAGTTTACAGTTATCTGCATAAAGATCTTTGTTAAGAATTTACTCCTCCATATTAGAAATGGAACCAAAAGCATCATTTTTAACAATTAAATGTTGAAAGTTCTCCCTTTGAGATCAGACGTTTTAGAGGTCCTAGTGAGTACTTTGTCCTTTCTTTCTCCCCAGTGGAGTGCTAGTGATTCTTGAACCAAACTGGCTTCACTTCATACACAAGCCTCCACTACAAAAATCTATCAGCCATATGACATTGTCAGAAAGTATCAGAAATTGAACCAAGTACACGGGTAGAACAGTGCAGATTACTGGCAAAGAGAAAGGTTGAGACCAGGTTCTATCTCCAGTGTCTGTTCTTGTGCAGTGCTGAAAACTGATAGCTAAGGAGATCAAGTAAGATTGAGAGAAAACAAATCACCAGTATCAGAATGAAAGATCCCACAGACTTTAAATATATATTAATATTATGAAAAACTTTATGTTAACAAATTAGACAGCTAAGATGAAATGGGCAAATTGCTTTAAAATTCAAATCACCAAAAGTGACAGTATGAAACAGAAAATCTGAATAGGCTACATTTATTTAAAATATTGAAATTGTTATATATATTTAAAAAAGAAAATCTTTTGAAAAAGAAAACTCCAGGTCCAGATGGTTTCACTGGTGAATTCTATCAGACACTAAAAAAAGAAATAACACTAATCTTATGCAAACTTTTTCAGAAAACGTACGAGTAAGGAATACTTCCCAATTCCTTTTATCAGGCCACCACAAACCGATACCAACACCTGGTAAAGACAGTAACAGAAAGAAAATTACAGGCAGTAAACCTCTTGAATATAGACACAGTATCCTTAACAAAACTTAAGCAAGTCAAAACCAACAATACGTAAAAAGTATAAAAAATCAATAAAATAGAAAATGAACACCACTTTAACAAAGTAACGAAGAAGAAAAAACCACATGAACATTTCAATAGATGCAGAAAAAGCATCTGACAAAAATTCAACATCCATTTATGGTTAAAAATTCTGACAAACCTACAAAAAAGAATTTTCTCAATCCAGCAAAGGGAATCGGTGAAAAACCTACAGTTAACATTATACTTAATGGTGAAATATCGAATACTGACATCCTAAGACTGGGTACAGGACAAAGATGCCTACTCTTACCACTTTTGGTCAACAATGTGATAGAGGATCCAGTCAGCGCAAAAAAACAAACAAAAAAATCCCAAAACCCAAAACAAACAAAAAAAACCCCATAAGTAAAAGGCATAAGGATTGGAAATTAAGAAGTAAAACTGTCTCTATTTGCAGATCACATAATTGTTTACATTCAAAATACTAAAGAATATATTAAAAAAAAAAGTTGCCATCGAGTGGATTCCAACTCATAGAGACCCTACAAGACATAGTAGAACTGCCTCATAGGGTTTCCAAGGGGCCGCTGGTGGATAAAACTGCAGCCAAACACCACTGCGCT